TTTAGTGCTCAACCAAGACAACCCCTAATTATTCATATGTGCAAATATTTCTTGTTATCTATCCAAATAGAATTTTAAATGGATTGCTAAGCTTCTTTTCTATTCAAATTCACAGATGGATAATATTTCTTGATTCATACTAACTTTGTCATGTATATACCCTGATAAAATAAATAAATTTGCTCTACTTGAAAAGAAAGTTTTGGTTAAATCCACTGAGATAAGAATACAGTAACTAGCTATACAGTAGCGCTGACAATAACAGGTGGCTATAAAGAACACATAATCCTATTTGTATATGCGCATAAGCAAGAAATCCAAATCATACACAACAGAATCTACTTCAATATGTTTAGGATTCGCAATATAATCATATATTAAACTTGCCTAAGTAGCAAGGGAAATATCATACAGACAACAAAAACATCATAGAACTTGGTTACTTGATATGAAAGAAAAAATGAAAAGAGATGGGCAGGTCAGCCTAGTACCAAGTCCTACACACCAAGGTGTGTCAGACCGAGATTTTGCAGGTACATCAGAACTAACTGCCAAGCCAACAATTGTAGCATTGAGACTGTGGAAGATTTCGCTACTTGGAACCTACATAAACAAAAGTAACAGCATAAGCAATATAGAGTTACAAGACTATGGAGACTGGAGAGGGCTACCACATTTATTATCTTCCTTCACAGAATATTTTTTTCCAGACAACTGAATTTTGTCAGTCAGTTAACACTATGCCAAATTGCTACTGGCAACTGATTATGCCAGGATTTAAATTTCCTAGCATGATCTAGGGAAAGACAGGGATACATATTTATGAGAACACCTAGTGTAAGTTGCTTATCATGTAATGACATTGATTATTCAGATAACAGCATCAAAATATTTTAATCATGCATTTCTTAAGTCATTGCAAGATAATTGGTTGTTCTCTTTTTTTGCTTCAGCAAAGTACAATGTGACTGCTACCTAAAGTTCATGCAGAATTCATACCATAACCATCAAAACATGACATACACAAATGGTCCACAGGATTACAAAAACAAGAAAAAGCATATGCACATGATAAACCAATTCCAATCATAAGGCAGAATAACTCTAGTAAATCAACTTATCTTTTGCTAACCTGACAATGAAGATGCACAACTTTTATTTTTGCAAAAGGAACCACGTAAGGAGCAATAGCAGCCAGAGCATGAGCAAGTTCCTTATTTGTTAAAATATTCAGGTTACTAGGAAAGCATTGCTTGAAGTAGTCAAAAAGGCGTTGATCTCGCATACGGCAAGCATCCTTTCGAACTAATATACTGCAGGAAAAAATTTTTCAATATTGTACAGTAAAAAGTGAGTTTATCCAGCGTTCTATCACTTCAATACATAATATATTGTATAACTAATGTACGACAGAAAGTGCTAGATTATAAGAAAGTCGAATTCCCAAGACCAACAAATGTATACAAAATGAAATTAACTACATAAACCCAAATCTAAAAGATGAAACCAGAAGGGTTCATAATATTATGATCTACCATAAAGAACAAAAAAAAGTGATATCCAACTTGATCAAGCTTGATGTCATCATAGATCACCACTAAAATTCTGAATCATTAAACTGACTGATAATGCACCAAATTGCTACCAACAGTTACACCTAAAATGGCTGCCGTGGGAAGAACACTGGATAAGGTGCTGGCAGAACCAATATCTCAGTGATGATCTTAGGCAAATCATCGATAGGTGAAAAATGTACTAAGGGGCCATCTTATATCCTAACAAAGTTTGCACTTTTGCATGGTTTTGCATTTTCATCACCTTTGGCTTGCTTCTTTTTTAAAGGCTTCCCTGTTGGTTGACTTGCCTGACCAAAGGAGAAGAGGATAGGATAAAGTTAGACCTGTACCTACATCATCTCAAATTCTTGTAACATGCATAGTCTGGCATATACTAATTCTGAGTAATATGACTCACAAAAGAGGCATGGCAATTATATTTGCATCACAATCACAAATCTACATTTTCTCTGTCATAGCACTGGCACCTATGTGTTTTTTACTTTTTCTACTCTGTTCATTGTAAATTTCAGCTGAAATTGGATGTAGCATATCCAATATCAGACAATAGGCAGAAACTTACAACCATGCCTCAAGCTCTTGAAGGAACATGTGATTCAGGAACAAAAAATGTTCAATCAATAATTGCAAATTATCAGCAAATAAAAAAATAAATCATCAAGTGCAGAAAATATGCAGGTGAAGAGTTTATTTTTTCTTTCTTTCCATTAAGACACTGTTTTAAGTTTCATCCTCAGAAATTCAGACAGCAGAGCTTAAAAAGTAACTTAATGTCACAAATTTTCAAATATTAACAAACTCACGATTGATTTTCATAGTTATGCCGTGCTGAATTGAGAAGATATATATGGGGTTCTTGTTGGTCACTGTCCAACCAGAATGTGCTGCCTGGAAGATTTTTACTCTCAACTGAAATGCGTATCTGAACCACTTGAAGGGGAGATATATATCTCAACTTTTCTACCAAAAGATCAAAGCCGGTGCCTGCAAACGATAAAAGGATAATAGAAGGATTCACAGCCAACTATATTAGTCCCAAGCTTCAGCATGAAATCACCTTGCTACCTGACAAAAAAAATAACCCATCCAGAAACAAACCTTTAACCCATCCAGGAGTGTTAATAATCAAAGGCAATGCTTTTCCAGGATGATTTAGTTCATTTGGTTGATAATGCACCCTAATAAAGTAGTCATACAAGTTGAAGGTACAATCCAAATAGGCTTTTGGATCACTCTTTGAGGAGACATCACCAAAGAAAAAGCACCTGAAATTTGGAAAGAAAAATGTTTGTTGTAAAACAGCAAAATAACAATAAAGGACCAACCCTAAAATGGACCTACACATTCATTTATTAAATGGTTAATTATCAAATAACATAAGTGTCATCCTTGAACATCTGAGGGAGAGAAGAAAATCAAGAATCTAGATCAAGTAGGTTCAATGTATTAGTTCCTGGAATCTTGATGAATAATCTCACATTAAAAATAAATGTTACTTTCTTTAGTCACATTTGCCCATGATGTTGCCTGTCGATTGATGTCATTAGAGCATGTCTTTGATCCTTAGATACAAAGACAGATAAAAGCAGTATGAGGGGTCTAATATTCTAGTGGAATATTCAAAATTTAACAAAATGAGTAACACTATGATAATATGCCAAGAAATAGAAGATTTATCAAAGTGACCTACATGATACTTTATGCCATCTCATGAATCAGATGTGTCATTCCTAAGTAAGGTTTATAATTCTGTAACAAATTAGTCTATTTTGTCTTTAACTTTGATCTATTTCCTGTATTTTAGGAACTTCACTGGAAATTTTAGTCATTAAGTTTATGTAAAAATTGCTGCTGGTCTGACAAGGAAGTTTACTTGCTCTAGAAAATCCAGGTTAAAATATGAAAAGGATACAGAGTCCTAATAATTTTGTCATTCCTGGAACATTTCCATACTTATAACTTAAAGTGTCTCCACAAAACTCAAATATTTTTCAAGAATGGAGGATAACTGGTTAAGTCTTAAAAGGTTCATTTGGATAATTTGTCTCCTATTATACACCATGTCAAGTTTGAACAACAAAAGTATTTCGACTGGTTTATGCTTAATGCAGGGTCCTAGCTGCAAAGAATCCATTAATATCGCTACTATATTTTCAAAAAATCATTGTAAAGCCTTCCAAAAAGATTTTGTTTCTCAAGTTGTGATTTGTTATTGTATCTAAAATTTTCTTTTCTTCACAAAAAAAAGTGACCATTTCTTCTAACTTCTCTTAGTCCCTCTAAGTCTTTGTGCCACCAAACAAGTCCTTAAGGAATCAAACACTGAAACAAGAAATTAACACATCCTCTATCACTAATTGTAGCTGATCTTATATAACTTGTTAGGAGTGTTTCAGGTGGAACTGTGAAGAATCACTAGTATAAGAGGTTCCTGATAACAAAACTAATTTTTTTCGAATCTCCTATCTACATAAGCAGACATTAAAGTTTCCAATCACAACCACGTAACTAAAAGCGCACCTTTCGGTTGCTCTGATGCACGGATTCATCAAATCTGTAAATAGAGAAACAACAACGACATTATCAACTTTGCAAATCAACAAGAAGTAACAGAAAGATACACAAAATAAAATAAAGTAGAAGAAAGATGCCTGGGATAGTTTTGTCGACAAGAGTAAGCGAGAGACATCCCGGAGGCGAGAACTCCGGTTGGCCCACATCCGTATCCAGGTATCCCACTTTCCCGTACCTGCAACCAAATCATCCTCATCAAAAGTTATAACTTTTAGGATAAGGTAAAAAAACCTAGAAAAAGAACAAATCTACGTTTGAACTTCTTAAGAGAAGGAGAAGAACCCTAGAAAACAAAAGAACTTCCCAAAAATGCATAAGAATCGAGAAGCGGGAAAGCGATGTTGACCTTGGCAAGAGGACATTGAGGAGATAGCGAGAGAAGGTGGACTTGCCGCTGTTCTTGGGCCCGCAGATGAAGACCACCGGCGGAGGGGAGGAGGCGCGCGATATCTCCTCCGCCGCCTCCTCCCACTCCAGCGGTATTATCACCTCTCCCGCCGAGGCGCCGGCGCCGCTCTCTCTCCCTCCCACCATCGCGCCGCCGTCGGTCCTCGGCGAAGGGAGAAAGCAAGCGAAGTTTCTGGGCACCGGAACTGACAGCGCAATTTAAATCCACAATCCATATAAGGAAACGCGAATCTTGAAGGTGCCAATCAAGCTCGACACGGATCTTGAAGCCTGGTGGATGCGGATCACATGGCGGAATGGTTGTGTCGGGCCCGATAGGGAAGGGATGGCATCGTCTAATAGAGCTCGAAACGGATCCGACTATGAAACAAATATCCAAATTGGATTCAAATTCGGATTCAGATACACGATGTAGTAGAAATCATAATACAGCCACTCATTAATGTCACAATAACACTTTTCATCAGATTAATTTCTACATGAACGTATCAATAAGCAAATATCACATCACATCAGCTTCGATATGCGTCAAGATTCGTGCACGATCATTTTACGCACGAATCTCGAAGCTGGTGGGAGACGAGCGGGTGTACCTTTCCTTGTGCTGTGACAGTCGTCGTCAACTCCAATTTTGGACCATTTCCAACCACAATCACCAAAGAATACAATGGATTAAGACGAAGTCAAAGTCCAACAATTTCTCCTCGAAACATTAAAAATGTTGCTATCACTAGAGAATCAACAATCAGATCATTGGTTCATTTATGAATGAATGCACATGAAGCATACATGCTTCGTCGCTTGATCTAAAGGTCAACTTGACCAGGCAAGCAGCCTGACAAAGGAGTATCAAGACACCCGTCTGATCGTGTTTATAGCATTTGGAGTAGAAAGTTTATAGATACCCATCGCAAGTGATGCTGACGAACGTCGACGAAATATTTAGGATAGGACTAGAAATGTATGTTCTGGAATAAGATGATGACATGATCCAGCGTCCGAGAATCTTATCTATTGCAGCAAACCTTCAACTTGTTGCCGTCCAAATTAAATATAGATCATGAGTGATGCATATGCATTTCTAATTCTCCCACACTTCGTTAGCTAATCAATAGCATGTAAAGGAACCCTTACAAGAGATTTGATAACGCTACTATGTTTGTTCGAAGCATTTTTTTAAGTTTAGCTGAGTAGCTGTAGCCCACCATATCTCCATCGGAAGAGGCCATCTCTGCAACTTCTTTCTCCATCATATGAATCCCTGTTGCTTCTTCGTCTCTCAGAAAGAAGAGTTTCGTTGCTTGTAGGTGACCAAAGAAAGATCGTTAGCAGCTACATGAAGGCCAAACTCGATAAAAAAAATTTCCTGTATATGACGTCCTGTTGAGAGAGAGAGAGTCTGAACCTGTGTGTGGCCATGCCATTAAAGTACCTTATTGATGGGGCTTCGCATCCTGCAGTGTATCTGAAATCATCACTTCCTCTGACAACACTGTCGAATACTGGAGCTAACAGTATCGGAAAACAAGCCCATCAAGCAACAGCAGCACCGCAGCAATCCAATGGCAACAGCCAGCTGCAAACCAGGGTCTTCAATTGTCTTCCCACCTCCCTTTCCTCGTCCCCACCATCAACGCCGACGTCAAAGTCTCCGGCATCCCGGTAGATGTACAGACCACGGAATCTAGCCAGACAAGGCCTCGCGAGTGCAAGGAAGCTGCCTCCGTTGGATCACTGAGGTAGCGTCAAACTTGGGGGGGTGATGAGGATCAGAAGAGCAGTGGTGGGGAGACAACTGAAGACCTGGCTCGCAGCTGAGGCTATAGCTATTGGATTGCGGGCGGTGATGCTACTTGGTGTTCGAACGGGGGCGGGGCTCGTTTCCCGTTGCTGTTAGCTCCGATATCTGACAATGTGGCGATAGAGGAAGGTAACGGGGAACGAGCCTTTATAGATGGAAGCCGAAGGACATGGACGGGCCTGAAAACGAGTGCACGTCGCCGTGGAGAGCGCGGCCGCGCATGGTACGCGGAAGGACATTCGCCGTTGGTCTCTCCCAATCGGGCCATCGCGAATCGTAAGACGCATCCGACGAAGTTCTCCACCATATGCGACCACGTCAAACGGTTGACTAGGTTGTGCGACGGTTGACTCGGTGATCAATAAGTAGAGCACGTGGTAGACGACGGCTGACTTGGATTTTACCAGCGGTAAGGCGACGGACTGCCACGTGTTATAGGTCCACAGTTGAGGTTGACGTGGTAGATGAGACGGTGTGGGTGGATCTCCCATCTGAGATCAAACAAGGTTCAGGGCATCGTAGCGATGGCACGAAGCTTAAAGCGCAGCAAGTACTTGGTATACGTCCCGCAACAGGGACTCATGTTGTGGGAGCCACAGGAGCGAATAGCGAAGTGCCACCTAGCTGTCTAAGGTCTAACAAAAGTCAACATTGCCCGCGCGTAAAAGTCCATCTGATCGAGCGACGAAGTCAACACACCATGGCCCATAACGTGACACCAGCTCAGATCGACATGGACAATTGCTAACAGTGAAGGAAAAATGCAGTGCTTTATTTGCATCATCACACGTACGATACATGAACCGGAAGAGTCTTCATCTTACTCACACATACAATACGTATATATAAGACCGTATAATGACCACAGACATAATGTAGATAAATGCGGTTCATGTGAACTCCATAGACTTGGGAAAGTATTCTTCAGGCCTTTTCGTCGGGAGAAAGCTCCACGTCACCAACGTAGACATTACGGACCGCAGCCTCGTTAGCAAGACGGCAGATGAACAGCCCGTAGAACCCGCCGAGGGCGACCGATCCTGCCATCGTCCAGACGACGGCAGCGAGCACTCGCGGCATCATTCTCGCCACCCGCCACGCGAAGGCGAAGGTGAGAGCGGTGACGAGGGCCCACACCGCGGCCTTTAACAGCTTCTTCTCCCGCGGCGTGCGACCGGAGCCCCGCTTCTCGAATCTCTCGAGGCAGAGGAAGATCAGGATCAGGTCGGCGTAGGTGAACGCAACGAACGCCAGCGACGAGGGGTCGTGGAGCGACCGGTAGGCTGCGTTCGCTGCACTGGTGATGAGGAACACCACGGTGATGATGCAGAGCCAGTCGATGTTTCTGCGACGGGCCAGCTGTGGGGCGGATGGTGGTCGGCGTTCAGGCTTGTTCTCCGACACCGTCGTCTCCATCGGGCAATAAGGACTCGGATTGCGAGACGGACGGTGGGGGTTCATATATTACTGGAAGCGAAATAGCAAGAACATCTTAACCTACCCTTTTTGCTATCGCTCGTCTCATCTACCTGCGCTTCGATTGGGAACAGAAATGGACATAGCGGCGAGTCCCGCGAGGTCGGGGGTTGGAAAATTTGATTCTCGATGAAGGTATACAGCTTCGAGGTTGACTCCAGGTCTCCTCCTGAGTCGATGCAAGCTACGTATTTGACTAAGTCTATCTAAAAATCTGACGTATACTTGTAAACACTGTGTGATAAGCGAGTGGACTATGCATGCAATTTTGGTTGTCTTACACATTAATATTGATAACGGTTAGATTCAAATCGGAACTGAATTAAATTAATCGAATTAGTCTGGCATTTTTTTTGATTTTAAATTGAAGCATAATCTACCGTAGACGATTCGGTTCCAGTTTCAAACTGATTAAATAACATTAAAAAAATAAAACAAAAATAGGATTTATCATATAATGGTAGTTTATGCATCAAAATAAATATGTGATAAGGGACTACTCGGTGTGCAACCTATAGGTGTAAGGATTTTGCTCTTTCGGAGTCTGTGAGCTCCAAAAAGCACCTCTAAGGGTAAGAAAAATACGACTGACTTATAAGCTATTGGTTTCTTCATTCCTCAACCAATGTGGGATTAAATGACCTTATTAAAGTGTAACTAGGATTATTTCCCTTCTTGCTTTTTTGCTTTCTCGTACTAATCATAATTCGATTAGAATTTAAATCGGATTAAACTGAAATTTGGATTGTTCGATTCTAATTTCAAAGTGATGGTTCTAATTAAATATAATAAAAATAAATTTATTGTCTATTTTCTTTTAAAAATAATAATTAATTAAATAATAATAAATAAAAATAGATTAAAAAATAAATGAATGATTCGAATCGAAATTGAAATAATTAGTTTCTAATTTTAGAGAATTGAAATCATGATTAGCGCTACATCTCGCTACCGAGACACTTTTCAATCGTCTAAGCTACCATAAAATAAATCCAGATATGAACTCATAGTTGTCATCCTTTTGCTTTCTTGCAATCAACGGTGCAAGTGTCAATGGGTTATAGCATTGCAGATTCGGTTCGTGTGCGAATTCGATCCGATTAGGATCCGAGTCTACGGAGTCGGGAATCAAACTTGAGGAGTAATTCTTGTCTCCTTAATTTATTAATTATCTTTGTATATATATAATTCCATGCTTTATTTGCAATCTTTTTGTTGTTCTGTTAAGTATATGCTTAAAATCTAAACAAGTTTCTTTGCTTTCTCATACTAATCACGGTTCGATTCGAATTGAACTAAAATTAGAAAAAAATCGATCCGACTATTTATCCATTTCAAGTTGATGATTCTGATTAAATATAATAAACAATAAAAATAAAACACAAATAGGATCTATCATATATTGATTAAATCTTTGTGTTTCAAGTAAATTAACCTAGGCTCGATCTTAATAGAGTCATTTAGTTTGGTTAAGAATTTTATAATTTTATTCGTTTTATATCAATTTTTTTTCATGTCATTATAGGTACTATGTTTATACATCTATTTTTTAACATTTTTATTTTTTTAATATATACAGGTTTTAAATTATAATTAATAAAATTAATGATTCAAATCGAAACCAAAATAATTAGTTCCTAATTTTAGAAAATTGGAATCACGATTAGTGCTACGTCACGATTAGCGAATTTGATTCGTGTATAAATCTGATCCAATTAGGATTCGAGTTTGTAGAATCGGGAATCAAACTCGAAGATCAATTCTTGTATCCTTAATTGTCATTTAGCTTCATTAAGAATTTTTATAATTTTATTCATTTTATATCATTTTTTAAATATCATTATACTTTTATAGTTATACATTTTAAATTTATTTTTTTAATATATAATTTTTAAATTTTATTCATTTTTATATTAATTTTAATATCATTATATTTATACATCTTTTAAAAATATTTTTTGTTAATTCAATTCTGGTATTCTTAATTCATGAATTATCTTTATGTATTTGTAATTTCATGTTTTGTTTATATTCTTCTTGTTCTACTGTTATGCTTGAAATCTAATCTGGATTCTTTTTTTTCTTGAAGTAATCACATTTTGTTTTCTCAAAGTGATCACATTTTGCTTTCTCGTACTGATCAAGGTTCAATTCCAGTCAGAATCGAATCCAACATATCTGATAATTTGTCAATTCCAAAGAGAATAAAAAATGTATTCTAGTTTTAAATCGATAATTCTAATTAAATATAATAACAAATAAAAAAACACAAATAGAATCTACCCTATAGTGGTTGAAATCTAACTAAGATTCAACCACCATGTAGTGATAGTGTCGGCTTGGGTTGAGCCCGGATCTGAAAGCACGTCTGGGCCCAATGGAGAAGCTCATCGTCACGGTTAAATTGATTTAAGATTCACGAGATGGTATCAGATGAGGTTCCACTCTCGGAGCTCAGCTCCATGGAGTCCTGTGCTTGCAAGAAACGTACTTACGCATGCTTCCTTGTGGCTCCTGCCGTGTCACGCCGAATGCAATTTCGTTGATCGAGGCTCTTAATATGGGGAGGAGCGAGGAAAGACGGAGACATTGCTGTGTGCTTTGTGTAGGTCGTCGGCTTGCGGTGGAGGCACGGCAACGAGATTTGGCAGGCGTGGGCTGCGGATTTCCAGTGGCACGGAAGGTGCTCGGAAGAATTCCTTACTGAAACTCCACGACTTGTTGTTTGGCAGGGCAACGTGTCGTGGAAATTTCCATGAAGGTTTCGGACTCCCATAGCCGCCAGGTCTTCATCACGGAGCTTCATAAGAGCCAAAAAGTTAGGCTCTGTTGCATTTGTTTTGTGCCCGCTCCTGATGGTACTCTCATGACAAGGAGATGAAAGGCCATCCTTGGATCATCTACAGCCGCCTCCAAAAGTCATGGTGACTCACTCGTCGCCTTCTGTCTGCCAATCCTCTCCGACCACCTTTTCAGAGCAGGATAACAATACCATTGACAGACATGACAGTGATTGAGGTATGATGCGACTTCCACATCGTCCACTGCCACCTCAGGAAAAGTACTTCTCTGCAGACTCCACTGATTGGATCAAAGTCTATCTTCCAGGTCTGTTTCGTGAAGCATCTTTCGGATCAAAGTCTTATCTTCGAGGTCTGTTTTCTGGAGCATTTCTCGAGCTTGGTTCCCTCATCTTAAGGGTAGTTGACTCTGTGAAGAGGAATGCCACAAATTAATGGAGGCTGTTCTATCTTATAGCCAAGCTTGAATCTGGAAACTGACATGTGATATTTTGAGTCAAACTGCTTATATGTTGATCATTGAACATGAAAGAAGTTGAAATTCTAGATTCATCAGCACAAATAGACATAATTTATTGCACAGAATTCTAACAGCTAAGGATTCACAAGGCATTAAAATATGTTTTGACTGAAGAAAAGTATATCTTGCAGCTTTATGTTGCCCAAATACTCTTTTTCTTTGCACCAACAAATATATCCGAGGTTGAACAGGAAAGATGATACCAAAAAATTATCTAAAAAATCAACAATAATATATAAACTCAAAAAGATGATAAATATAATATTTATATGGTTCCATACTTCTCATAAGTGAAGAAAACCAAGTTTCTTGTCATGTAATAATTAATTCAATCCTAATTTCGAAAGTTTCTTTCTTCACATTAACTTCTTTTTCATACTTAGCATTCCTTTTCTTCATGATTGTAGATATCCTTATATATATATATATATAATTTTGGTTCCCGAGGAGATCTTCTGCCATCAAATTAGAACACCTCCTCCAGAAGGATGAGGATGTTGAAGTTGGACTTGTACGTTGACTTTGTGGTTTAAGAGAGCAATCCAACACTCAATCCACCAATCCATTCGATTCTCTTACTGCACCTTTCGCCAAAGAGCCGCCACATCTAAATGCCATCGTTGCGTCCGCCCAACACCACACGTCTGGTGGCCAAATCTTGGCTGACGTCACCTGCGGAGACACTTCGGTCCACCTCGACGGAAGCATCACAGCAGCTGGCCGCGGGCCATGGAAGTGCCCCCAACTCGGTATAAATCCCTCCCACCGACTCCACTAACCTCGGCAGCATGCGTTGTTGAGCGATCGACTTGACATGGCGACTGCCGCTCTGGACATCGGTGGCCTCTCCTGCTCCCCTGTCTTCCTCTTCGACGACGCTCCAAAGCTCTGCACTACCGATGAATTCGACGTCTCCGAATACGTGGCTGTCTTCGACGAGAGCTCGGTCACGGAGTCATCAGCGGTAGCCGGCGACGTCTACTGCCCAACGGACGACACCATGATGTATGCAGTTGGGTTTCCTGAGATCATTGTTTTTGTGGGTGGTTTGGTGACTCGACTGTGGTGCAGGAGCTGCAGGAACGAGACGAAGAGGATGAAGGTCGGCGACGGATGCAGGATCGGGTTCAGAACGAAGTCGGAGGTGGAGATATTGGATGATGGGTTCAAGTGGAGGAAGTACGGGAAGAAGTCGGTGAAGAACAGCCCCAATCCGAGGTACGTGCATGCGTCGCACGAACCGAATCAGTACTTCGTAGCCGAGGTCAATTGCAGTACGTATGTTGTTGTGTGATCGCAGGAACTACTACCGGTGCTCGACCGAGGGTTGCGGGGTGAAGAAGAGGGTGGAGAGGGACCGCGACGATCCGCGCTTTGTGATCACCATCTACGAAGGCGTGCACAACCACATCAGCCCATGTACGCTCTGCTACAACTACGCTCATCTCCCCCTCGCACCCTCGGCCTCAGCGCCATGGGGGAGGGCGATGGCGGGGGCGCCGACGATCTCCAGTTCATCGTCGACATGTACTGCTCAGTGGTTGGAGTCGTTCTTTCAAGACGACATGTAGCTCAGAACTGCACAAGTTCGAGCTTTGACCACAGGATAAGAGTTGTCGCCGAAGACTCGTCGTAATGCAATGTTTGTTGATCGGATTTATCTCGATGAATAGTGGCAACGATCTCGTTCTTTTGCGCAAAGCTTGGCCGCTACTTACGAACGTAATTGTTATGCTCGACCAAATTGGACGTCACCATCGGCATCAATGATCCTCCACTGCATTCTTACGAATCTAATTGTTATGAATATGAACCGAAAGATTGTGTCTTATCTACTGGTATAAGATCTTATATCAAGGCGCGATGTTCGAACACCCTCTCGATACTACCTACGCTCGGAAAGAAATCCAGTTTTAGACGAAAGGGACATGTTCAAATACTATCTTTAAAGTCTAATTGGCTGAGATCGGACAAAAGACCAGTCTTTTGGCGTTTTTCGTTGATGGCTTTGTGCAGTGAGTTCTTCCGGAGGCAGATGAACTCATTGATGACTTGCTTCGGATATGAAGAGTACGATCCGGCAGTCAAGTCAAGCAAGTGTTCCGTTCATTTCTTCAGAAAGGAATGAGACAGCCATTGCATGTTTTTGTTGACCAGTCGACTACAAATTTGCTGCAGATCGACAATCCACGTAATGCACTTTGGCTTTCCCCAAAATCTGCGGTAAGAACGTTATTTGCACAGTGATCATACAATTACTTTGGCAATACCAATAAATAAAAAAGTCTGGAAGTATGACTCCTCGGCACAAAATTATGTTGCTGGGCATTTGACTTCTAATTCAAGCTTTGAACACTGGGCATTATGTTGCTGAACTGAGTACATAATTCAGCAGGTCAATGCCTGGATCAAAAAGATTTCCAAGGTCAGGTTTGACTCCTCATCCCTAAGGGCAAAGTTTAGATGTGACCTGGGTAGTCTCATTATCCTCCTTTGTCCCTAGGAAATCTCAACAAAATGAAGCCTATGTTGATAATACAAAGGTAACCTGCTTCATAATTTTTTAGGGTTTGTAGAACACTTCGATATACCCAATGATATTGTTAAACCAATGCAAATTCAGAAATATTTGCCATTAGTTACCAGTAGCAAAAGGGCAAATGGTTGATAGGGTCATCTTATCACTAATTATACTAAATATGCTCTATAACAAACTCAGGTGAAGAAGCACAAAGTGGGATACCAGAAAGAAACATCGCCGCAGATAATTTTATGTGGATGTGAAACTCAGCAAATAAGATAATTGTTCACTGATCAAACAAAGAACCACAACGTCAAATTTCTTTTATGATTAATGACTCCAACAACCTAGTTGACTTGTTCAAGAGTCAAAGCAACTATGCTTTGCACATTTGAAACCTTCGAGTGTTGACCCAAGGCAATATCTAGAAACAAAGGACTGATAATATACTTATTTACATATCTAAGAGATAGTTAACATACTTCCCATTTCTCACAAGCAATGGATACGGCCTAAGTAGAGGTTCTCATAAGGTCATCTCGAGTTCCCCCTTCGTATAGACTCATCTAAGAAATAAACTGTCATCAAGTATTCCTCCATAAACTACATCACCTCAGCACTCGAGAGAAGTAGTTCTGTGGGAAAGTAAAAAAAAAAAAACACAAAAAATTCAAATTTCAAATAAACAGCAATAGTAGTTCAGTTACTAGATAACAAATATCAGATCCAACAAGTTGGATAAAGCTATGACACCAATGTTCTTGTTTATAAGATAATCCAACTTTTATTTCACTAACTTTGATTCCTTGGACCATCATTAACTTAGCTATCAGCTACAAATGAACCTACCAAATATATGTTTCAGTACCATAATAAGATCAGCTCAAACCTGGACAAGTCCTTCAAGTTATCACTGATGAGTCGGTATCATTCTGGAAGATTGCTTCGGTCTTGGTCTGGTCAAAATTTCCAGATTCTATAACCTCTGCTATGTGCTGCAAACCCTAGAATGCAAGCAAGAGCACAGAGACAATATGATAAGGTATACTGATCATTATATTTCTATACTTCCAAGACATCTATCAGAAATTATAACGGACATTATGTTAAATTGCTTTTCAACTGTTATGTTAAATTTCTCGACAAATCTGGAAGCCTTATTATGTTACGTGGTAATAACATATGCAATTCGTGGAGTGATAATAAGCATAAAGAATTATCTGGAGCTTGTAAACTGAAGCAAGATCATGTGTCTAAATAAAAATGAAACCTTCAAACTTCTAGCCTCCCCGGATCCCAGAAAACCACGTTTCCCAGCATTCTTGGGGCCATCCTGTGGTATATAAAGAAAAAGTGTTAACAAGGGCAAGTGGGCAACAGAAAATTTTTATAGAACCTGAAAATGATTAGGCAAAAAGAAATCATGACAAAGGGAAAAAAGAAGACTTCATAAGGTAACAGCAGCAAAGCCAGACAACGGACAAAGTAAAGCTCCTGATAGAAGTACAAAGGAAAAGGCAAATATGGAGTAATAAGCAAGAAAAAATTAGCCTGTAAATGACATGTTTATTGACTTTATTAATGTTTATTGCAAAATAAATGGCAAAATAAATGTTTATTGACTTTATTAACTAAAGCTACAGTCAAAATGTGATCTGTTATGATGATTAACAACGATTGCAAAGTAATTACCTCCATTCATCCAACGAAAGTTGTTATTTTCTCAGTTCTGTTTCTACTGAAGCAAATGAACTTCTAGATCGATTAAAACCTCATTGTTCCAAGAGACAATAATAAACCATTAAATCCAACCTCGCTTGGGACTGTACATATGACGATAAACTAACGTTCGAAACCCTTCTGACCAAAATAGGCAAGAAGTAGCAGCAGGCACAGTCCAGTCAGGCCACCCTTGGCCACTGAGTCCTTGGGGGTTATCAGATTGCCAAAACCCTGAAGGGTGGGGGGGTTAGTGCAGAACACGAGAAGGGGAAGCAGGGACTTCAAAGGTATTTTGGTATACTAAGTATTATGATTAGGTGTGGATATTGACATGGTAACCAAAATATTTGATGATTGTAAGTCCCCAAGGCATCGGGTTTTTCAGACATTTTTCAATAAGATTAGCTTATCTACCTCTCCACTTTTCTTGTTCTCTTTAAAGGTCCACATCCCCTCATGTTAGGAGTCCATTCCTTACTCTTCTTAATCATTCGACACAAATTACACAATCAGATATTGCTTGTAAAATATAAACTCATCAATACTCAAGCTGTTGGGTTATCATGGTTGTTCTAGTATTCTTTTGAAATTTTTGGAGGCCAAATCTTTGTACAAATTCTAGTACACACCCATTTGATAAATGCATTTGCACCATCAACAATATTTGAGATGTTGGCAATGGATATTAATTAGAAAAAGTCTGAACAGGTTTGATTAAAGTTGGGGAAAGTATGAGACCAGTGGCTAGAACTACATAGCAATGATGACTAGAAATATATAGCACTGGCTTTAGAAACAAAGTAAAAGCACTAATGCCAATTGGTCATTATGAAATGATGGCACAAACCACAATAAAAAAAAGTTAAACAGCAATAGGTAGGATAAAAATGTGTTGGTGCTCTGTTTTTTTCTTTAAATCTTTGATTAGTGTTTGTTTTAAATAGTAATACTTACACAAACACGTGTATTTTAAGAGATATATCTGTATATATACATTAATGTTCTAAATGATGAAGCAACTGAAAGAAACTCAGAACAATTTTTTATGTAAAAGTAGCAGATTGGATTTCACTTTGATTGCAGATGCTCAAACAAAGAGATCTAAATGAGCATAAAAAAGAGGCAACAGAAATAGGAAATTATATTCAGAGAACTAATGGAGTCTTACCACTAGATAATCAGGCATTTTTCCACCCTTCCCCTCAACGAACTGGCAGAGGTACATCACGCCGGCACATGCAAAATTCTGCAATCAACATATGTTAGTAATGATGGATAAACATTTAGAAAGGAAGCTGGCATGCACAGTGTGCTGATAGCAATTCTGAAATATGGATAGACTGAAAACAAAGCATAAGGCTATAGATAACACAATAAATATACTGGCTTCATTATGTACTTAGGTTTCTCATTGAATAGAAGTACTTTCGCATGGTTTCTAAATGAATAGAAGTAGCTTAGGATGGTTTCTAATTGAAAGGATGTGGAATAGCAGGAGATCCACTAAAGCATAAAACCATATATAAGTACCAACAAGCAATTCAAGACTCTGATTCCTTGTATTACAACAACGGATAAAAATAAGAACTCCATTCTTTCTTGAGTGATAAATCATATTAAATAACTCCAGAATCAGACCATAAGGGAATAGAGGAAAGCCTTATCTTTTTTTTAAGAGTTAGCAACCTATACAATGAAAGATACTGTTTGAACAGTGAAAGTGCAAAACTCTCTACCAAGGAGTTTTGACTATGCAAAAATTTTCTAATTAAAGACTCTAAATATGACCTACATGTAAAAGAGCTGCTACGAGAGTAATAATTCCATTTCTATTATATGGGGGCAACTAAGCACCTCCAAATAGGATACATTCACTGTAGGTGGTCATGACTAGAAAACAGATATGCACAATTATGTTAAAAAGATGAAAGTACTTATAAACATTATTTATAATTAAAGTGGTGTTTGTTCTCTTCACATGGCGTAACCATTTCAAAGTATGACTTTTTGCTGTTCAGATGTGTGTCGTAAGTTCAAAAACTGATATCTTTATCAAATGGTGCAACCAGCATTTCTAAAAACACTAGGAAATCGATTGGGAGACCTGATATCACAAGTTAATGTTTATAAGGACCTTATACCAAAAAGGGATGTATCATGGGACAGCCCATTAAGGGGCCTCGAATGAACACAAACTATGATCCATGTATACTCTAAGTGAAATATGCTTTTTAACTCTCAAGAGAATCAAATCAAAAGGAATCATGCATCAAATGACAGTACTACTGTGACACGTATACTCTCTTCATTATTGGGGTGCAAATTGTCATTCATCTTCACAAAGCACAACATTTAGATAAAGCAGCTTTTGTCTGTTCTGATGAATACTACAACAGAAACTGTACATTGTCACATATATATAGCTGCAGTTGTAAACCAAAATTGTCTTCAATCTCTTAACGTATTATATCCCTTATTTTGTTTCAAAATTGGCTTCCATCTCTTAACAACATCCTAGAAAGCATCAGATTAAGAAAGCTTCTGAATCTTGTCAGTGAATACTAAAAAAACTGCAATTAAGATATCCCAAAGGAACCTATATCTTACTGTCAGACAGGTCCATTTGGGTGCTAGTTAGCAGCAATAGCAGATAGTACTCGATACCGAATTACCAAAAATATGGCATGCTAGAATAAACAGTCTTAAGCTAATGAGAATTCACGTATAGAAGATAATTAATAACATGTAAGCGTTGTTCAGTAGATTCAAATATGCTTGAAATATCACGATATGCACTATCTGATCATATAGCTAGATAAACCCAAAAAATTCCAAAAACATATCTCAATTAATATACATAATGTCAGATACCAAATCTCTATGCCCTAAAGTAATTTAGTCACCTGCTTGTCCTCGATGGCATTCATCTTCCCATCCTGTACCAAAAAAAAGAAATCATTCAACAAAAAATGCACAGCAACAGTTATCTAAATGCAATAAAAAATGACATATATGCTCACCAGACCCCAAACCAGTTGTTGGAGGGTAGTCAATTCTAGCCCAATATTATCAAGTTTTCCACGAGCATCAATTACCTATTTTTCAAAACAAGAAAGTGCAGAGGCTATATAAAGGCAAAGCATTTTTGTGAAGAGAACAAGTTGCAACATATAAATTAAATTTTCTGGTGTTCATGTATCAATAGCAGGCTTGGCCTCACCAAGTCTAGAAGACTTGCTGGAAGACATGCTAACTGCCAAACTGATAATATTATTGTCAAAACAGAATAAATTAAAGTGCAATCATAATTCAAAAAGCATCCACAGAAGATGATCGTAGCAAGACATCCAAGGTTCATTTCCTATATAAAAAGTAACTTTCCTTGCAGCCATAAAATCAACAAGCAAATAGTAATAGTGAACAAAACATTACCTCCTTTTTTATTTCACCAGACATCTCCTTTTGCTCATCCAATTTTCCATCCAAGTTCTCAATTCGCTGTGTCAGATGCTTCTTAGTTTGCTGTAAAAAAAAAAAGAAACAAATATTCTGCTTTACTTACAATGCCCAAATTCCTGTCCAATATATGCATGAAAAAATTAACAAGGTATTGACATTTAGTACTTTTTAAGCATGTTATTGTGATACTCAGAATTCTAACAATGTTTGTCATCATTTGAATTCTTGAAAAAACAAATTTAAGGATGATAATTAACAGTGAAAATAAAGAAGGAAACACAAAGTTTAAGAAATGTAAATGTTAAAGTAGGATAGCTAGGACTAGCTTATTGATTTTTTCGCATTGCTAGAACGAAGAAGACAAATCAGTTGCTCCAATCATAACACTTCAGGACTAAGTATAAAAACCTGTTCTCTTCAGTCGAGTGTGGAGATTTGAAATTGCTTATATCCATACAAAAACAAAGTACCTGTTTAACTTGCAGAAAATAGAGACTCATGGCACCTCTCTAGAATGGGCATTAAATTCAATATATACAAAACGACTAGCCAAGATCTTGATATTTTCTCTCCATATGGACCAAAACCTCTTACCACCTAACCAATACTAATCCTTGTAAAGTTAGTGCGCAACAGCTAATGTCTGTATTTCTGTTAGAAGTCACTAAGGGCATGTTTGGTGCAGATTTCCAAAAAGACTTTTGCTACTACTAAAGCACTATATATGTATGTACGTACGTACGTATACATATACATACATATACATAGATACATACATACACATATATATATGTATACATACATATATATATACATACATATATACATACATATATACAAACATATATATACATACATACATACATACATATATACATATATACATATACATACATATATACACATACATACATATATATACATACATACATACATATACATACATACATACATACATATATATATATATATATATATATGTATATATATATATACAAAATTTTGAATGTTAAAAGAAATTTCACAAGGGATTTTGAGAAACCAAAATATTTCTTTTAAGAGGAGGTCAGGACCTCCTTCTGACTCGTCCTAAAATAACTCCCTGTAGATCCTTGCTTGGCCTCGACACCCATCGTTGCTGTGGTCATCAATACCATTTCCATTGTCTATCATCATTGTCGACAACATTGCTACAATCACGACGACTGTCTGGTCACCATCACCATCATGGTTGCCATGACAATGGCCACTGCCACAAATCACTGCTACCACCAAATGCATCACCAAGTACCACTGCTATCAACTATCAACCACCACCTCTAACATCACCAACTACCAATACCATTGTTGCCACCATCATTGGCTACCACCACTATCATCATCTCCACAATCACTATCGGTCACTGTCACTATTGTGATGTAGGAGCGCCATGGTGTTTTATGTTTATCTCTGTAAATATTTTGTTAGTCTGGATTTTTTGCAAATTCAATAACATGACAACATTTCATGTATTCTACATTACGTACAAAGATTGCCTGAGGAGAAGCATGAAACAGTGTCAAACACTGAAGATGGTTGAAATAATATTCCTGATGAATGCTATCCTTGTAAGAAATTTTAATACCAAGCAAAGATATGTGAAATATCATATTCTGAAGTAAGAATGGAATGTGATACTGAGCAATATGTTCTTTCAAATATTAATTATTTGAATCATGCCTATGTTTTTTTTAAAAATAAATATAGACAAGTGTATTGCAACTAACTAAATAAGATGGCAACAAAACATTTAGTACACAACCTTCATTTATAGGAATATATCAAAATGTGTAGCAAAGATATGCAACTATAATTCTGAGAATGAGAAACAAGTAAAAACATAAAACTTCTTATATAAATCTAAAACTTACAGCAAGAGCAGCAGAAACTTGCTCGAGATGCTTTGTCATGCTTGCAACTGCTTTAGTCATGTTATGTTTGGTAACATACATAAGGTCAGACAAGGAGATGCCCTGAAAAAAGCATTAGTTAACGATACTAATGAGTCAATCACAACAACTCTACAACAAGAACCAAAATTTACTTAACCAATCAGAGAAAGAACAATCACAGAAGAATGAACTCCTAAGATAACAATATATACTTAATGTATAAGCTCATGGAAAGGGAAAAAAAGCAGCAGACGAAAAACTTTAGCATAATTTACAAAGAATAACCAATATTACATTATCAAAGAAAATCCTCAATCAGAAAAAAAAACTAGTGAATCTAATGGGAAAAACATACTTTCCACCACATGTAACCATAGCCTAATGCCCCAAGGGTTGCAGCTGGCACTACAAGTGATGCCATATTTCCTGTTGGAGGTAGAAGATATAAAATTAGTCAAAATTATCCTAATACAAAGCTGACAATTACATTTAGATATATACGAGCGGTATAGCCAGATTGTTGATCAGAAAAGATAACACAACAATATCAGCTAGAAGCAGAGAAACCAGGTTTCACTTGATAGACGTGGAACCACTCGTGTTGCTTAACTATGCTTGAAAGTATTTTGTTTTTTCACATCTAGGCAAGCTTCTATTTGAAACAACATTTCTTACATTACCTAATAATTTATCATTGACAAAAAAAATAGCAACTTAATAGGGTGAAAGACCATACATCCGGTAGACTTTGTCAAACTATCAAACATAGCATTAAAATGCACTTGAAATAAATGCTGCAGAAAGAGCACCTGAGCCAGAATTTCCATTCAGAACAGTTATTGGACGTGCTGACGCAAGTTGACGAATCTCCATGGCCAACCTACGCACCTGCGTATCAGTATGCCACCTTATCAGCATGTTACAGTACTAGCAAAAGTTATGAGCAACAGAAATACACTGTAAGAACTAATTTAAGATGAACAAAGAAATTAATTCCTCAAAATAAAATATTTCCACAAATTCCACCTCAAAAGGGCAATATTTTTTTCTATGTACGAACGATTTAGCTTACAATTGATCTGAATATTGTCCAACACTGAAATTTTTCATCAAATAAAGAAAGAGTTCAATAAGAAAGAAAGAAAGAGCGAGCGAGAGAGAGAGAGAGAGAAAGAGAGAGAGAGCAGAAAGATTAAACAACGTTGAAGAACCAGAAAGTGAAATAAGGAATAGACACCAATTCATTTTTAAAACAAAATGAGTACAAAGAACGTCCAAAATTTCCACAAATAGCAACTAGACCATAAAACCCAGGTTGACCAAAATGACAATTAACAGATAATATATACAGATTCCACGAAGCAGAAATTGCTACTTTAGCCACCGATGCATTTAGCTAAATTCAATTTAACCACAGAGTCATCAAACGGATAAACTAGCAAAGCATTCATTAGAACACCCAAAAAAGTGAAAACCCGGTACCTGCGAAGCAACTGCATCCGCATGTTCAGGATCAACACCTGCTTTCTCCGCTGATTTCTCCAACCCCTTAACCAATTCCTGCTCACCAATTGGGTAAAACTACCTTAGAATCTAACATCCATGTATCAAACTTCAGACAGCTTCCAAATCATACAAAAGCAACTCTCCTACCAATTTTTTCTCTTTTTTCATGTAACCCACAACAAGAACGAGATCAAATAACAGAGTCGAACCTGAAGCTCCGACAGCATATCGGACAACTTGCCATTGCGCAGCAAGATCGAGCCAGTAAACCCTAGGAATCCAAAATAACAACTCGATCAAATCACTCAAGATAAGGAATCGGGACGAAGAAGAGGCACGCAAGATCGGAGTGGAAGAGGGAAACCTGCTCCGACCAAGAACAGTACTTTGGAAAGCCCCATCCCCACGTGCATCGCCATCGCTCTGCTCCAGGTAGCTCCTCCCTCTTCTTACTCGGAGAGAAACCCTAATAAGGGCAGCAGCAGCGGCAAGGAAAGGGAGACGAGTCGAGATGCGAACAAATCGGATCCACACGAAGAAAAAGTCGAATCCTTCTCAGGTAAAGTGTCGAAGTCCCGTTATATTAAATGTAACGGGATATCGGCAAATGCCTTGTAACGGTGGAAACGGGCGTTTTTTGTGCAGGCAGAAATGGTGTAATTGTCGAAAGATTTACGATATATTAGTTATGTCGTAGTAAAAAAGCAGATATGTTACAATCATTATAACAGATGTTATTAAAGCGTTTCCCTGCAGAAACCGGCACAATTCGTCAGTTACAACTGACTGTTACAAGCCTGTTAACTATCTCCTCTTGGACCGACAATGGATCCCAATAGTTGGGCTCGGCCCAATTCGATCGAGGATTTGCCGATCGCTACTTAGGTGGGGTTTCCTCCAAACCCTAATATACCCCAATCCTTTTCATTTGATCCCAAGATCGAGCTCGCCATGGATGAATCATGGCGATTCCGGCCGGCGCAAGGTCACCTCTGCCCCGTTTGTTCGATTCCTCACTTCCCTTTCTGCCCGATTCCTCCGCCGCCGCTGACTCACGCCTTCGACCGCTACCATACCGCTGCCGACGAGTTCCATCGCTTCCCTCCCGGACTTGCCCCACCGTTCCCTCACGAACCTCCTCCCTGGGATCACCGGGAGCCGCTACCGATTCCGTACGCACCTGAACCCTGGGGCGTGAATCGACCCTTTGAGAGGAATCCCTTACGTCCTGTTACCCATCCGCCGCAGCGGTTTCTCCAAGATGAATTCTTGGGAGGAGAGACCTCCTATAAGAGGATGCGTGTTGAAGACTCGCTCATGGGTACTTTCCACACTCCGTCGTCGCACGATCGTTATGAGTTCGCTCCTGGGAGGACCTCGTCTGATAATGAGCGTAGGCTTAATTTGATTCGAGATCATGGGAAGCCGAACCCTGTGGAAGGGCCGCCACGATCTAGTGGCGAGTTTCTGCCAGATAGATTTGTGCGTGATGGTATGCTTCCACCAGATACGTTCGTCTTTAATGGTCCGCAGAATCAGTACAGGGACGTTGTGGTAGATCATGGCTTTGATGGCCCAAGGATTAGTTCTGTTGGCAGAAGTGGTCAAATCTTGCCTTTTGAATCGACTTTTGGATCCCAGAACCAGTTTTTGCGACCAACTCCATTGGAAGAACATCGGAATTTTCCAGGAGCTTTGAGTTCTCAGGGTGATGATCAGTTTGTGTCACGTGAAAGATTGGATTTTGAAAGAGTTGGGCCGAATGATTCACGTTTGGGTGAGTATAGAAATGCGCATTATGAGAGAGAGGATTTTGGCAGGGGCCCAGAGGTTGGAAATGTTCACTCTGACATTTCTTTTCAGCGGTATGACAGCTGCAAGGATGGTGGTTCTATGTCTAGTTCAGAATATAATGCAGCCCATGTAAAAGACAAACAGCGCTTTTCTGTGATGGGTCATCGAGTTATATATTGTACACCGGATTATGTATCATGCAGCAAACTTGATGGGTATGACCAGCATGATTTCCAAGAGCTTCATCCATCTAAGAATTCCCCTTATCCATTGCCAAAGCAGCCACAATATTCAGAACAGGGAAGCCATCATCTTGCACAAGATACAGTTGGTAATGAACTGAAAGGCTCCTATCCAGCATTTGGAGACCCTACAGGAAACATATTTGATCTCACGAACCAATGGACTGAGGCTCCTGAATCTAAAGTTCCAGATGCCAATGATATTCACAGACTGTTAAAACCAGTAAATTACACATTGGTAGAACAGTCTAGTGCAAAGAATCATGTTGTACAAGGTGGTCTGCGACCCTTGCCTGGAATGAATAACAGTAATGGCATGATAGAGGAAATGCATCGTCAAATACATACTCCTGGACTATATCCTTCTGTATCACCACCACCTCTTTCAGCTGGACATCGTGAACCATTTCTAAATCACATCCCAGCGACATCTTCAGTGCCAAGTGTGCCACCACCAACATTGTTTCCTGTTCTAGCAAGTGCTTCAGGAACAACATCCCTTCCACCTAATCAAATATTCCCGGACCCTCATGCTTTACCACGAGGCAGCGGCTATGCTGAGCAACCTCCTCATCCTACTGAGATAGTTTCGGAGGTGCTTTTCAATTCATTCAAAGTTTCTTGTCTTCAATTTGTTTCTTCTTCAACTTCATCTTGTATATGTTTTGAACTCTTCAGCCTGGCAATTGCCATACTTCTACTGTTCTTGCTAACCTAAATAGTTCATTCAGTTTCATTACATTATGAATATAGTGTACTTGGCATAAGAAAGTTGGTGCAACCTTGTGGATATGTTTTGGAATAGAACCATACATGTGTTTTACAATTTCTATTCATTTATCTATTGGACTATTCTGCATGTTGAACTTGGTGTATCTGAACAGCTAGGCTGCAATTTTGCTTGGGTTTAAAATAACCATTTTTATTTATCCTGGCTCATATAACTAACTATAACCCTTCTTTTTTGTTTATTGCTAATGATGGGAACACTACTTATGTCATGATGTTGTTTTGTTAATTTAGGGCTGATCAACTGAGTATTGCTAGTCTTATATCATTATTTGCTTATGTTATGATGTTCTTTAGTTAATTTAGGGCTGTAGTTAAGCCAGAGCTTGTTTATTTTTCATATAGCTGATGATATCTATTTGTCTGTACATCTGTTTTTTTTTCCTTTTATAAACATTTGCTATGTAGCCCTGTGTGAGATATGCTGTTGATTAACAATTTTAGATGTTTGAGTTCATGAACAATGATGATGCAGGATTTGCATCCCATCCAACAAGCACCATTAAAGCAGTATCCAGAAGCAGTACCAAATGTTTCAGCGAATCGGCCTTTTAACATTAAATCAACTATTGTTGATGTTTGTGACTTGCTTAAGCAACCACATCGTGCATCTCGTCCTGATCATATTGTTGTCATCCTTCGTGGACTTCCAGGTTTCTTTTCTTTCTTAAATTCTAACCTTGTTTTTTCATATATTAGAACACTTTCATGTTAGTACCTTTCATGATGGCTAAAAAGTTGCATCATCTTAGTAATAATGTTAAATGCTTTATAAAATTTTGTGTATGCTTGAAAATTTTGCATCGGTACCTGCCTTTCATGATTGATCATCGAATATCATGTCATTTGTCCTATGAGGAATTTGGGCTATTAGTCCAAACCTCCATTATGTTCCATCAATATATCCGATATAGAAGTATTGTATTAGCTTATGTACCCTAGAATTATGAATATAAATCTTGATCGGGTACCATTTTCTGTTGAATACCAATACCATATAGTGTACCATATGTCTGGTTCAGTACCAACCAAACTAGTATAAGTAGAGAGAGAGAGAGAGAGAGAGAGAGAGAGAGAGAGAGAGAGAGAGAGAGAGAGAGAGAGAGAGAGAGAGAGAGAGAG